GGCGTGTAGTTGAAACTGGGGTCTGCGTGCACGTAAATGTTGTACAGATTCTTGGGTTTGTTGTTGAAGAAGAGTTCCCAGAGAGGTGCAAAGGGAAGTGGGGTGTTAGTCAAGAACAGAAACGCTATTTTCTTGATTGGCTTCTTCGGATTCGGGTTGACCCGGGAAGCAAGTTGGAACAATGAATAATCATCATCTTCACTACCTTCATTATTAATTACATGCAAAGGTGGTTGCCCTTGGCTGGACGGTGGTCCTGGTGGTGGTGAAACGGTGGTGGTGTTCTTGATTTGGGGTTTTAGTGGGGTTTCGGTTTTTCTTGGAAACCTGGGCAGTAGATTTCTTGTGGTCATGTTCTTAGTACTGAAAGCGACAATAGTAGTACTGGGAAAGGGAGAAGTGGTGGCGCCATCAGTTGGGACGGTGGTGATGGTGGTGGTGGAGGAAGGAGTGGTCAAAGTAAAGACTATGGCAAGAGGTAAACAAAGAAGAAGAGCACAGAGGAGCGAAATCGGGGTAGGTGACAGCATGATGTCTTCTGGTCAGCCGCCAAATTGGTGGCGCGGGGCGGTGGAAAGTCGTATTGATGTAACTAGTATGTGGGGAACAGGAGGAGGGTCTTATTGATGGACAAAATTGAAATTTGAAATTAATTAATTAATTAATTATGAATATCTGAGTAAAGTGACGATGAGCATCTTGATTATGATTTATGCAGCAAACCAAAATTAGTGGTGAAGATAACTACTGTACATATTTATATAGTAATTGTGGATCCAGTACAGCACAGCATATCTTGAAATTCTGCAATCTATTTTTGCCCAAAAGCATGAAAATCAGAGGCATTTTGGGGAGTATAGTGAAAATATACGTGATTAGTGGTAAATTAATTAAACATAGTTCATGTTTGGGGGTTTACACGTGGCTTACATGCAGGGAAGGTGGCTGCATTTATGGTGCGTAGTTCACAAGCGGAGTCCCCATAGATTATGGCCAACTCTCGTGCCTGCGTGTGTTGTGTGTTATGTGTGATGGTTGGGGTGGTCTGGTTTAAGGGTATGGGGATCAAACATGTGATGGTTGCAACAAAGGCATGTTTTAAGCCTATCAAATATACTTAAGGTAAAAATTTTGAGAGATTATGATAAGAACTTGTGAATTCATTAAAAGATTGTTTGGCATGGTTTTTGAGAAGTTAAAAAGGGTTTTTAAGATTCAAAAATTACTTTTGGATCTGTTTGATTAGTTTTATGAAAGTATTTTTGGAGAAAGCTGATCTAATGTGACTATTTAAAAGCATTTCTAGATAGGAAGTTCTTTAAAAAAAAATAATTTCCAAACAAAAATTTAAAATAACTTCCTCCAAAAGTAAAAGCAAAAATCCTACTAAACTGGCCCTTAATATGTGATCAAAGTTATGTTAAAAACAGTAACCGTGCGTTTGATTGCAAACATAGAATTTGCATTAAAAAAAATCTAGATGATTCAATTGCCTAGAACTTATTTTTATGAAAATTAGTAATTAAATGTACTTGATTGATTTAGTTTTCAATTTAAAAATATTATACTTGTTCATTTTTATTGGTAGGTAGATGAGAGAGAAAGAGAGAGCGAATTCACGTGATCCAAAGTTGGAAAATATTTTCGACGGAAAAATTTGTCAATCAAACACCTCAGAAGTAAGAATTTGGATGAAAAATGACATTTTTCCATAGAAAATAAAACCAATCAAACACACTCTAACTAAATTTATAAATAATTTGTAAATTAACAACCAAACAGAGGCTAATAGAATTGGAGCAAACCATTGCTCATAAAGGGTTGCAGATGTTAGAGATAAAGATTAAAGAATAACTTATTTTTTTAAGTGTCTGAAGTTTATATTATATAGAAGTCGTGTACCTCAATTCTCCAAACCTCTTGGTTTAATTTGTCCGGTTTGATTTCCATTATTTTCAAAATATATTTTTCTCTCCCTTATTTTCAATTATATATTTTTCAATAAAATAATATTACACGTAAATTTATAATTTTTTTTCTTCTTTTTTAACTACACATTTTCCATCAAATCACTGTTACAAAATGCATTTTTGACAAATAATGGGAATCAAATAGGCTTATTTCAACAGCACGTGGTAAATCATTGTTATTTTTGGAAATGAATGTAGCTTAGTCGTCCCTTCAAACCCTAATGTCATTTAGGGCTTGTTAGCTTAATTCTTTAATTTATTTAGTAAAATCAACAATTTCCTTGTTGAGCCCATTTTTGCCTTAACACTCTTGATTTGGTTGACTTGCAATCGATTTGTCTCCCGTTTTAGCTCATCTCTGGCTAATGAGAATAATTTCATTTGTACAAAAAACTGTGTCACAGAATTCTACCAAAAAATCTCACATGTGTGGGACTCGTGTTGTGATAAAAAATGTCAAAAAATCCCTCCACTTATCTCCTATTATGTCTATTTTGTATGACTTCTATGTGCAATGTTTCTTTACACAGCAAGCTCCAACTAATAATGTTTACGAACAGCTCAATCAATCAAATCACAGGTGCCAACTTGAACCATCAGCCTCTGGCTCACAACATCCATAGGTGTCCAAACCAATTTTGTGGCCATCATTTTGCAGAAAAGAAAATGGGTGGAATAGTATTTTTTTGAAAAATAAGTGGGTGAAAAATAAGGAATTTTTTTTATTTACGTGTAATATTATTTTGTAGAAGATTGTATGATTGAAAACAGGAAATAAAAAAATGAAATGTAATGGAAAAAAAAAAAAATGTAATAGAATGAAAATTAATGGGGTCAAACGAGGGCTTAATGTCATTTCAGTTGAAAAAATGGATATAAAAACATCTTTCACGAAATGACAATATTAACCAAAATTCATTAACTTTTTTAGTGGTCTAAAAAAAGTAAGGCTAATTATATTATCACTACAAAGTTTAATTACTACATCACATTATAATTACACCATAATTAAAATATATTTTTAATAAATATACCATAATAAATTTACAATTATACTCCTAATTCAATAAAAATAAAAAAATTGAAAAAGATCATAATATAATATTGTGGTGTACTTATCACTAATATTAATCCTCATTTTCTCAATATTTCCCATAATTTATTTAATAGCAATTGAAAATAGAAGATCGGTGAAGAACACCATGCCATAATTAATTGAATGTTTGTTACAAATAATTAATATATATGAAACGATCTTTTAAAGTTATCAGTAATTTGTTTGTGTTACCGTTTTCATTCGAAATATAAATATTTAGGGTGTATTTGATTACATTTATTTTCCATGAAAAATATCAGTTCTCCATCTAAATTCCTACTTGGAGTATTTGATTGCTATTTTTTTTCCATAAAAAACACTTTCCAACTTTTGAGAATATGCCTAATTTTCCTTGTTTTTAAGGAAAATATTTTCTTTGGGTGGAGGTGGTTTTTATTTTCCACAAAAGATGGAAAACATTTTTTTTAGGTGATATTTTCCATGTCAATCAAACACTCTTTTAATGTATTCGCAATTTCATTTTTTTAATCTTGGAAGTTTATTTTGAAAACACTTTTAAGTGAAAATTAAGAAATTTTATCGACAACAACATTATAATTTCATGGATAAATATGTTTTAATAATTCATTGGACACATTTCAAACCCAACTTGAGGAAGCATTTATGACATATTTTTTGATAAACTGGACATGTTTCATAATTGAATTATTAGACATACATTTAATATTCGATTTATTCATACTTGGCCAATAGTAAAGTATTGTGTATAATCGTATCTATTGAACTTGTCATCATTTTCCTAACATTTAGGACAAACAAATTGAATTATGACAAGTTATAAAAAATTAAACTTATTACGATCCTATAAAAAATGCAATATAACAATAAAAATTTCGTGTTGATTAAGAACAACTTTTGAAATTATATATTCTCCATAGACAAAAATCCATGAATACTGAGCACCTACATATACACAAATTCATTTAAGGTTTATCTATATACATGCAAATTTGTAATTCATGATAATGAGTGGTGCAACCTGTATATGTCCCACATGATGAATGAACGCAATTCATGAAACTATGGTTAGTATATATACGCATAAATTAATAAACTCATTTAACAATTAAAGACAATAATCTTACATATTTGTTTTTAAATCATAACAAATCTGTTTAACTTAAAATTAAAAAAAAATTCAAATTCTTAATTTTCTCATTTGAAAAATAAATTGAAAAAATAAATTAATTTATCGTGAGGGAAAAGATTATTTTGTCATCGTGGAAGAAGGCAAAAGCCATCAGAAAAACTATGAACAACGAGATGTTGAGGAAAAAGAAAGAACGATATTAGACTTTATATTTGTGGTGTAACAATAATTTATTTAATTAAAAAATATATTAAATTTTTTAATTATGTAATTTTATTTAAGGATATTTTAGTGAATAAAAATTTTATGGTGCACTTAGTAAAATTTGGAGTGGTGATATAATTACCCAAAATGTCAAATTTTAAGCTTTTTGCTTAAGCATAAGAAAAAAATGAAGCATTTTTAACATTGTTTTTCAGTCAATCAAAAAGGGTAGTCAAGTAATTTCATAAAAATAAGTGCCAACAGGGCATTAACCCATAACATAGCGTCCGTTACCCAATTGCACAAGAAGCTTTCGTCCCCACTTTCTTCCACTTGCTCTCACACATCCTGCTGTTTATTCATGAATCAGTTCATCGTCGATTGATCAAATCAGAAAGATAATCAGTTATAATCAGAGATTTTGATCTCCCTTTTTGTTTTATTCTGTTAATTTTGTGTTCATATGCAGATTTTCTATTTTTAATTTAAATATGGGTTTCAAAAGATGATTTTTCTGAGTTAGGTGTCGTTATTAGCATCATCATTTAATGCAGTGGTGGTGAAGATCTGTTCCCTCTTGGATTTCTTATTTACTTGCAGTTGCATGCATGGGGTCAGTGCTCTCTCTCTCTCTCTCGTGTTACTGTTTATTTCATTTTTCACAGGAGGAGATGCACAGGGTACAACACTACAACTTGTAAAGCATGGCTTATTGTTGTATTTATATTTCATAAGCAATTCTCAGTATCTAGTGAAAGGACAATTGGGCAAAAAGTTTGGGAATCATTGGTTTGTGTTGTTTTCTTTTTGATTGAACGAAATTTATTTTCTTTTTTCTTTAAGGGAAGTGATTAGATTGTTAAAAAAGTAACAAACTTCAATTCCTCTCTTTTGCTGTGTGTGAAAGGTTAGAAAAGGGAATAATATAAAATTATAGAAGAGATAAATTCCATTTTGATGTGAGACAACATAAGGAATAAAAGTTTGTTACTTTAATGGTAAATTGGTTCTTTGCCTTTGGTTTTTGGCAAGTTGGCAACCCATTATTTAATTAATAATTTGTTTGTGTACTTTAGCTTTGTTCCTTTTTGAGGGCTGGAATCTTAGTTTTTCTTCTCCATTAAGCAAGTAGTTGTAATGTGCGTAAGCTGCAAATTTTGATGGCTCTCTCGCTTTATTAATCATGCTTTGCTTGCTGTTGTGAGTAATTTGTTGGAGTGGCACTCATAGTCCTCATCTAATTTTATGGCTTAGCTGTGGTATCAAAAGAAATTTGTCAAAAGGGGGAAAAATGTAGAAAAATTGTTAAGGTATGCATAATAAATGGTGCTTAGCAACGAAAATGGAGGCCTGTTTTGAAGGCGTGTCTTTATCTTCTTTATTCCGATGCTTTGGAAAGTATTTTCTAGCTCTTGTTCAGTTGATGATGGAAAGGTTGAAGGATAAATGCAGAACTCTTTTCAGTGTAAGAGGTCATAATGAGTTTAGAACTTTTTACTCGGTCATAATGAGTTTAGAACTTTTTACTCGCTTGACTTCTTTTCAGTTGCAGAAATTTTAGTGCTTTGTCTGCTATTTCTGCAGGATGAGGTGTTTTCCTTTGCCTTTTGTGCTGTATGGTCAATAGCTTCACACATTAACTGTCTGTTTATTGGCTTCAGATTCTTTATGGAAATCTGTCTTATATTCGACAATATGCCATTTTATTGTAATCCAATTTGAGGTATACATACATATCTCTGTGCTAG